AATTGTTTTAACCTTCAATATTACATAAGTTACTAACTCACTATTGTTAATTTAAAGTAATAGCAATAAAAAATCGTGATTCAAATTAAAAGTTTTAGTCAACAACTTAATAGTCTGTTATTTAAATCATAAACGACTCTTAATCTATAGTTCAATAAAAAAAAGTATAATAATTATAATTACTGATAATAAATGAGCAAATTAGCGTAATATTTATAAACCCTGATCACTTTAGTCCTCGATAATCCTAACATTGATGGCACCGAGTATGAGACCCATGGGTGTGTTTTTAGTGCCTATTTTATCATTGAGTTTATTCTTAATGTTTCTCAATCGCATGGATGAGTGCATTAAGATCAACGAAATCGATACCAATAGACTCGTCAATAGTATGGCAACCGATGATATATTATACAACAGTAAGTAGCTGGACGTTATGATGATGCCGTAGTACAGGTAGGACTGGTAGGTGTTTTCGGGCACCGGGGCCGGTGAGCTCATATGTCCGGATGCGTACACCACGGCTACTACTCCGATGCCAATCACGGCTATAGATAATAGCATTTTCTGTGGACTTATTATACTGTAAATCAAGAATATTCAGTGAAATTAATTTAATAACCATTACTAAGCATTTATATTTAAGTTTAAACAAGTACTTAGCAAACTACCAAGAATATACATTATACATTATTTAAATAAACTAATCACTGTAAAAAAGTTCTTGACAAATCATGCAAACATGTCGTTAAGTATTGTATTTTCCATGCTAATAAATTAATACACAGGTACTGTACTTATTTTGTTGCATATATTTTTCGCTATAATAGTGAATATACTGTATAATAATTACCCGAATATAATGAGCACAAAGAAAATGATGAGAAAATAGTTGGTCTGATAGTAGTGTAGGTTTGAGACGATCCTGGATCCAAACTTTGGTTTCTCGAAGCGAGCCTTTGATAGCAAAAAGTCGTCGATTGGACGCAACGGGGCTATCGTATACTCGGCCGACATTTCCCACGGATTTTCTTGTATTAAATTGCGGTTAAAATACAAATTAAACGCAATTAATATAAAATGTATATAACTAACAATAAATGGCTATTTTAGTAAACAATTGTATGACTCGACTGTACGACACAACTATTGTAATGCAATGTGTAATCGCTGTGTAATATAATATTTAATATAGCTGTGTTTAAGCTATAGTTGTTTGAGTAATGAGATAATTGTTATGAATAGCAATAACAACTGAAATGAATTTTCTCGATAAGAGTCTCAATGATAAGACATGTTAATGACATGAAAGATATAGTTTTTGTTTTAGGCATTTCAAATCATACATAACATGACAATTAGTTATGGGTATAACATAGGAATTTGTTAAGTGATATGAAAACTTTAGTTGGGAAATGATATTAATAGACATGTTATGGTATACATGGCAAACTTATTTAAATATTTATATTAGTTTATGTCATTCACAGCTAATTCTTATAATTCATTTCATTTAATTCAATTCATTTTGTGTGATAGACTGTGTAATGTCTGACAAACTTTATTTATTAGGAAATTGTATTAAAAAACTTAAAATTTTAAGAAAATATAAGTTATAACTATTGACAATAGTCTATTGTAATGTCAAAAAATTTCAATTCCTATTGTAATGTTACGTTATGAAAACTTTCACAAAACCTGTTTACTATTTATTTCACTTTCTATACATGCGATTGCATTATATGAAAGACTTTCTCATACACTATATGCCATACAGTATAAATAAATATTATGTGGGTTAATAGTGTTGAATAGGATGTTATATAATCACACTCATCATTGGTTAGCAGACATTCACGACATTAGGAAAAAGTTTAAAACAAGTTTTGGGAATTTTTAAACATCATTTTCAGTACATAAGTCCTCATCAAACTTGCACTAAACCAATGTTTAGATCACTATTTACTCGGTCTTAAATGCTCATGCCTTATGTCTCAAATAATTACAATTATTTCATTTAAACCTTTAAAAGTGATTGCATACCTACTCATGGTAATTAGCAATCAAATAATGACAATTCATTGTGTTTAATGGCATTGAAATTGTTTCGTGAAATGCTATTTTAATTAATTATCATAAAGTTTAATAAAAATAATATTTAATATAATACTCAGTATTTGTAGGATATTTGATCAGTTGAACAAAAATCAAACACCTTTTTATAAAACAAAGTCTATTTATATACTATTGTATGATAATACTGTATGTATTAATAGTAATTGTGATGACATTGAACTACTTTGTTAGACATAGTATGGATTTTTCTATCAAAAAAGTGCATGGATATAATTTATTGACATTTAATTGATGGTGAGTATAATCCTTGAAATGACCTACTCTACTGTGAATTAAACAATTAATATCTCATTTATATATTATATATATATATATATAAACATTTAATTTATATGCAATTAATGCAAACACTAATTAATGCAATGCTTTTCCTTTTAAAAAATAGTAAACGCAATGAATTTCACAGAGAAGTCAATAAATGCATTAATATATAAAAATAAAAATAGTTATTCAAAAACTATTAACATTAAGACGTTAGACAACTTCATTAGAAATACATGTATGTTGTGAAATAAAAAGTAATCAAGAATTCATTATTTTGATTAATTATGAGATAAAAAACTTCAAAATATTCTTTGAATTTTTAACGTGAATTCATTGCCAGAGAGTACTGTATAATATTGAGTGAACGCTATATGTAGTGAGCATTACATGACATTTGAGAGACTTATTCCTACCATTCCTATGGTTGCCAATGACTACAATTGCTTTTCATATGTAATTTTAGACTCAAGAATCGACGCAATGGTGTATTTCCTCCCTCTCCAGCAGTAGCGATAAAACTGAGCTATAAATCTGACAAACATTTGTCGAGATGTTTGTGACAAACGCCGTGTTTTGGTGTCTCAATTAGTTTGAGACGATAATACATTTTTCTAAATATATTTATTTTATTTATTTATCATCAACTCGTGTATGATAATATTCAGTGAAAACAATGCGTCAACTAAATGTAACAATTATGAAAAATCACGTGGATAATATAATATATACACAGAATGCTCACGAATTGTATGTTTACTGTACTGTGAATTACTGGAGTAATGCTACGGAATGCTATGAATGAATGCAATGGTGTCTCGCATTAGTATCCCATTTATCTCAGCGTCGAAAAACTGTAACAAATTTTTTGTGTGATAATGAAAAGTATAATTAATTATTACTGTAATCAATAGTAACATTTAAAGTTATAGTATTCAATTACAACTACAAACACAAATCTACTCATTAGTATTTTAATTGTCATTTATTTTTATATAATAATATAAAGTGTTATATAATATAATTTTCATATACGGTATAGCAAATTGCTAGGAAGTGTGTGTATATTGATAATAAGTACCCGGAATAATCTCAAAAAGTGTGATAATGTCTGTGATAAACGACTTGCGACTACTGCTGTGGAAGAACTATATGCTACAGATCCGGCACCCGGTGGTCACCATCGCCGAGATACTGATCCCGTGTCTGTTCGTGGCTATGTTGGCGTCCGTACGGCGCAAAGTGGACTTCACGCCCCATCCCAATGTCACTCTATACGAGTCCTTTGACGTGTTTCACTTGCCCGAGGTTAAGGTGGGCGAGGGGCTGGTCATCCCCCAGTGGATTGTCATGTATGCGCCCAATGAGACCCAAGTGAACGATATTATGGCGAAAGTGGAGCGCAAGTTGGCGTCCATGCTATCGGCGGTCAGATTTGATGGT